AATAAACTTTCTTTAATAAAAATTTGCGTTTTTATTGCTTTTAAATCATTTTGCTAGCTGATTTCAAATCTTTGAAGTTTTCATTCACGTATAATGTATTTTTTTTTTTTTATTGATTTAAAACATTGCATTGAATCAAATTGTTACTTTTGGTTGTAAATGGTGACATCTATTTTATGGCTGCCAACGGATGGCTTCGGAAATAAAAATTATTAAAATTTTTGGAAGTTAAAAATAAGATGAAATTGTTATGATTCGATTAATCAAAAGTTTTTGATTAATAACTGAATTAATATATATTAAGAAATAATTCCATATTATGTACTGGCTAGTTATATGGATATCATTTAGAATTATTAAATCATTGATTTTAATTTTTTTTATTGCATTACCTTATCACCTTTAAATTTTGTGATTTAAAAATGTTATACAGGCATTAAGTAAAATAATTTAACCAAAGAAAAACCATTACACCTGTCGGAATGAACGAGAAATTGTGACCTTACTCACAATTTCTTATTTGAATTTGTAGCAAAAAATTAGAGCACATTGCTTCATAAAATATAAGAAATTGTACTTGCAGGAATGAAATACGAACATCGTCATCGGACGCAGGTTTTATATGTTAAGTGCGGTGGTGGCGTCCACGTAAGTGCACAACAAGTCTCGGGTAATACACATTTTTATTTCGGCCACTGGAGTTTGTTTGGCTTGTGAAAAGCTACTTAACGGCATCACCCACGCTCCTGGCCAGCCGCTCTCTCGAGATTTCCACTTGTCAAGACGCAAACACACACGCTCAAATTTATTCAACCCCGAGGTGGCACTTAAAACCGCGCGTTGCAGCGTTTGCTTCGCTCTCCTACTGTTTCGTCTCGCTCTTTTTTAAGTCTCATCTCCTTTAATCTACCCACACACTAATCTGTCTCGGGCATTTCATCAAGATCGTATGACACTCAACCTTTCATATTTCATACATAAACGCACGCCATTACGACTTTTGTGGAGCTGCTGCATAATTCCTTGTGCTTTGTATTCGAATTTACGACCGATCGACGATAATTTTCTGCTGCTTTATGATACGCCAGACTTCAAATTTAGCGTCGTCTGGATCAGATTCAGCCTCGCGAATACGCCCGCGCCCTCAAAATTTTACCAACAACACCCACTATAATATCTCTAGAGGTGCTTCTGAATCGTAAACTGCATCAATTGCTCCAGCATATAAGACAACGTAGAAATATTAACACACAAAAGTATGCAGAAGTTTTCCAGGCAAAAAATATTTAGATCATTCTCAATTTTAAAAGGTTAAAATTTTATCCAAAGTGCCCCCGTCGTACAATTGAAAATTTTAAGATACCATTGAATTATTATTTATCTTTGGTCTCACTTAAAAGACGAAAATTAAAATTTGAAACTATTTTGATTTATGATAATAGATATTATAAAAAATTAATTTGTTCATTTAAATGCATTTGTAATAATTCATTCATTTTACACATTTTATTCTAGCTAAAACTATCAAATTTATTTAAAAAAAATTTTAAACACGTTATTTCAAACATTTGCCAACGATCTGTCTAATTATTGAATATATTAAGCATCACGAATTTTATATTAATTGAATAATAAATATAACATTCAATAGTTAACAAAGTGTTGTACTGCTGCAACGTGCAGCTTTAATTAAAACTATCAGGAATTTAAAGGGGGGAAAATCAGTATTTATCCTGTTTTTCTAATCTTCAAAAGTCTGAAATTTTCTCTGTGTTTTAATTGAGGAAAGTTAAATCGGCTTACCCTTTTATCTTCTGCTGGTCATTATATTTAACACAAAGAGGTAAAAAAAGAGGAGCTGCACCCGCTGCATGCTGATGCTCTTTCTCTCTCGTGTGTGGATTTACGATTCCACGCGAGATCACGATTTCGTGGACCAATTTTCTATTGTTATTACACGAGAGGCTACTATATAGTAGTGGCTACTACCGCTCGGACGACCGTGTGTATCTATATCTACATACATAAGTTTAAGTCTCAATTTTGTGTTCATCGTGATTATAATTCTATACCACAAGCGGCCGCCGATAAAATATCAGGAAAGCCATTACGAGAGAGCGCCGAGTGGGAGGAAACAATTTTTTCCTCATTCCTATTTAGATAAAAACACGCTCGCTTCTGCGGTTCCTATACTTTTTGTCTGCTGAGAGGGAATTGGTTTATCGAAGATTTCGGTGCACGTTTCGTGACTGCACCTGCACTTCAGGAGCTCTCGGCGCAGAGAAAATCGTCCGAGACTACTATGTAGGAAGGAGCATTGCTGCAGCTTTTGATGCGACTCCTGTGGCTTCTTTTGTTTACGTTGGAGTTTCTTTTCATTTTATATTATGCCCGCTGATTGCCGGCCAGCAGCGAATAGGTCATAAAATCCAGTAAAATAATCAAGTGCAGTCAAATAAATTTACTCGACTAACCAGAAAGAAATTAAAAAATTCCTCACAGCTAAAAACATTACATTTTGTCCAAAGAGCACTTGTCTGATGCATAATTAAAATTGAACTTCTTTTTAGCACATAGAAAGTATGTAAAATTTTTGAAGAGAGAAACATCAATTTTATAAATTATTGTCACCAATAAACTAATATTTGATTAAACCTTAAGAATTTAGATTTTTTATGCTAAATTGAATAGTTATCAATAATTATATTTTAAACTTGCATTTATAATATAAGATTTACTTTTTTAATGAGACATTGTTGCATTTATCTAAATTTACTTAGTTGGTTTGCTTTATTGAGTAATTGAAATTTTGATGGCTTTGATTACAAGAATTTTAAACTATAGATATATTTTTTTAATCTGCTCTTATCTGCTTTTCTGTGTACCTTTCAGGTCTCTGCATTAAACTAAATACTATTTATATTTATTATCAATATCTTTGCATAGTTTATTTTCATCTCCGCCTTGATTTAACCTTAAATAAAATCATAATCTTGTGTTCACATAGTTAGGGCTTCAACTATCCAAACATGCAAATTTGCCATCTTCTGCGTAGCTGCAGGATGTGTGGCGGCGCAAAAAAAGGCAGAAAAGTCTAATTGCAAAGATCGACTGATGCTTTTGCTTTTCAACAGCAGCCCGTCGTCATCATCATCAGTTTGACTGATAGTTGTTATCAAGCCGCTACGTGTGCAAAGCAATGCACGTGTGTGCGCCCAACAATTATCATGGCACATACACGTCGGCCGCCGGCGCTTTTCTCTGGCTAATGCTTGCTCCAGCAGCAGCAGCACGCAGAGCAAAATTACCCGACCGTGTCCAGCCGGCGTAATTAGTGTTCGGGTGTTGTGCACGGCCACTTTTAATTTGGCCAACGGTAGCGTCATTTTGACGTTTTCTCATTTTTTTGCCGCGGCCAAGAATGCGCGCAAAAAGCAAAGCTGGTCATCTCTCAAAACATATGTAATTAAAAATGTCGCAATTCAACTGACGAGTGAGAGAGCAAATAATTATACGCGGTACCAAAAAGGAATATTATATATATTTTGTTTCAAATAGAAAACGCATGCTTATTTCTTTTTTTAATTACAAATGGAAAAGTGACGCAACGCGGCCTGCGGCTGAAATTTATTGAGTGCGGGCAATAAAAACACGAATCGTCGGCGGTCGGCATGCGAGGCGGTTAATTTGCATATTTGATTGCAGCGCGCATCGCTGCCCGTGTGATGATGATAATTATGAGATTTGATGCCATGCACTAAGTCTATTATACGCACACCTCATCTCCAATCAAAGTATGTTTAAAAAGGACTTTTAAAAAGCAAATAGTTTGAATCAATTCAGTTTAAGTTAATTACCAAGTCATATTGTTTTTTTTTTGCATAATATAAAAATCCAACTGAAGAATAATTGGATCTAATGAATTAAGCTTAATTTAATTATCAAAAAATTACACAAAAATAGGAAAAAAGGCTTTCCTATTGATATGAATTAATTATCATTTTTATGTTTGTACCTGATTAACTGATTATAATAAGCTCCAATAACTAAGTGACCTTGACTCATTAGTGATGGATCAATGCAAATTTTACAAGTGAAGCATAATATAATTGCAGGTATGAAAATAATTAAACTAAATATTTGCAACCCTGAAAAAACAGATCCTACAGCATGTCCCTTAAAGACAAAACGGCACTGTTTCTTTTAGTATCCGCAGCTGCGGTGGAGTATTTTATTATCGAAAGGAGCTACAGAGGCACTGACTGTACAAGCTCTTTTTGCGCTAATCACCGCCGGTGTATTTATCTTGGTGAGCCGCCGTGACAATGATTGAGTGAGCAGGGCGTATTTGGAATTACCTGAGCCCACTCTGCCACTCGTCGTCCTCTATACTCGCAGCTTTTTGTGCAACTTTGTGGACTTGTGTGATACTCTATTTAGGCGAACAAATCACTACGAGGTGACACTCGCGGTGACTGGGGGAAGAAAAACAGCGCTCGGCTTAATTAATTGAGAAATTATCGCCTACAAGAAAAACTGTTCAGTGTCACATATTCCTGTTTACTCAACGGCGAGTTGCGCAAAACGGTGAGAAATGCGAGCATTCAGAGGAAGATTAAACGTTGCCATTGTAATTCCATACTTGCTCTGGATACAAATTCACTAAACGCAAAAATGTATTCAAAATTTCGTTGCAATATTCTATTCTCCATGACAAATGAATAATATTTTATGAAACATTCAAATATAATAATTATGACAATTATGTTCCCAAAAAATATGCATATATGTATGTTTATTTTGAGCTTTCAGGCATTTAAAAATTGTTCCTTTTTGGTAAAATATGATAAAATAAATTTAAAATAAGAAAATAAATTTAATTATTTCTATCAATTAGCATTAAGTAAATTTAATACAGTTCTCTAGAAAAATTCTAATTGATTAAACTATATTATTCATAGTATTTGATAATATATAAAATTATTGTTAATAAACAAAGGTTTGTTATTAATATAAAAATATTTTATTATTGATGTATTGTATTTTACATAAAGCTCAGGTAAAACAACTTCAAGACAATCATTTTTGATTAAATTCTTCCAAATTTATAATTAATAAATAAAAACAATAATACACAATTTATAAATTAAAATTACAAACAAAAATTATGGTTATAAAAAAAATTTTATTTTTTTAAAAATTTTGTTAAAAAATAGCATTTTTTGCAAACATTAAATACATTAATAAATACAGAATAAATACAACTAGGATGATTGATTTAATTGATTAAGTAGAAGGAAACCCAATAATACAAAAAATGGTCAAAAATTAAAGAGATTACATTGGTTGGCTCATTGAATGGAATGTGTTTTATGAGGAATTATTCCGTGAATTATGATAACGCGGTGGTTATCTGTGGCTGGTGACGGTGGTTAATATACTTCTGGGATGGCTTGTGAAAGGGTGGTTATTTCCGTAATGGTTGGTGACAGGGTTGTTACTTCTGGGGTGGTTACTTCTTGGGTAGTTACTTCTGGGGTAGTTACTTCTTGGGTGGTTACTTCTGGGGTGGTTACTTCCAGGGTGGGTTTGGTTGGTAACAACGTGGTTACTTCCAGGGTGGTTGTTGGCGAGGTGGCTGATGGCGGGGTGGTTACTTCTGGGGTGGTTCCTTCCGGGGTGGTTACTTCCGAGGTGGTTACTTCCGAGGTGGATACTTCCGAGGTGGTTACTTCTTGGGTGGTTACTTCCGGAGTGGTTGTGGTTGGTGATGGGGTGGTTCGTTCGGGTGTGGTTTCAAAAACTGTAGTTGTAGAGGTGTTTTCCTCCTCCTTGCACCCCGCACTACTAGGCCAGTCACACACTTCCAGGACAGGATTAAAGTGAAGTCCTGGTGGACAAGCAAACCAAATAGGCTTTCCCCAATCACACTTGCAAAAACTGCTGCAATCCCCTGGGTTCGGCTTATGAATGGCCAGTCCCTCGTTTATTTGTGGACACTCAACACCTCTGCATTTAGTGCTGGTTGTTGGCGAGGTGGCTGATGACGGAGTAGTTACTTCTGGGGTGGTTGTGGTTGGTGACAGGGTGGTTACTTCCAGGATGGTTGTTGGCGGGGTTGTTACTTCCGGGGTAGTTGGTGATGGGGTGGTTCTTTCGGGTGTGGTTTCAAAAACTGTAGTTGTAGAGGTATTTTCCTCCTTGCACCCCGCACTGCTAGGCCAGTCACACACTTCCAGAGCAGGATTAAAGTGAAGTCCTGGTGGACAAGCAAACCAAATAGGCTTTCCCCAATCGCACTTGCAAAAACTGCTGCAATCCCCTGGGTTCGGCTTATGAATTGCAGGTCCCTCGTTTATTTGTGGACACTCAACACCTCTGCATTTAGTGCTTGTTGTTGGGGTGGTTGTTGATGTGGTTGTTGAGAGGGTTGTTGAGAGAGTTGTTGAGGGATTTGTAGAGGGGGTTGTCGAGATGGTTGTTGAAGTTGGTCTTGTGACTGTTTGGCACTTAGCATTGTCTGGCCAGTCACAAACTTCCAAGAACCTGTTGAAGTGAAGTCCTTTTGGGCACTGGAAGTAGATGGCCTTGCCCCAGTCGCACTTGCAGAAGCTTTCGCAACTGAGAGGATTTGGCAAGTGGACAGCATGGTCACCGTTCAGTCGTGGGCAATCGGTCACCAACTGACAACCTCTATTGGGTGAGAGGATCTGAGAGACCGTGCTACTCACAAGAGTTGCAACAAGCAGTGAAAAGTGAATTGCTAAAAGAAACATAAAAAAGTTGTTTTATCATTTTAAATTGAAATGTTTGTTCACACATTTTTAATTCTCTATTTTTTCTTTCAACTTTCTACCCTCCGTCATTAATCATTTGTAATGAAATATTCTGACCTTGTCATTTTTAGTCATTATTTCAGAAGAATATTATTACCAATAATATGATTTTCATTTTTCACACTGGCAAGAAAGAAATAATAAAAAAGTGGCAAAATTCTCAATTTGGTCAAAATTTTAAAGTTTTTTTTGCCTGGGAATCGGTTTAAATGAGAGGTGTGTTTCTCTTCTATTTTTTCTGATTTTTTCTACTTGCATATTTTGATTAAAGATAAACGATTTTAATGAAATGTATAGAGATGCAAACCTTTCATTGTCGAGTTTCTCTGTAAAGACTATGCGTTTGTTCAGTTGCTTCCACGTTCCGTTTACTGATTTGTATTTTCTGAAATGCCCTCTTTATATACTAAATTCACTTTCATTGTAACTCTTATCACAGAAAAGACCTTAATTATTGCTGTGAATCACGATGTTAGCCCAATTAATAATTGGCAACTAGCCTCATTAGATGTGCCTGTCGGTAAGTGATAATTATGTAGACGATTTAAAACACCTTATCTGTAAGGCTTATTGTTTTACAATTAACTTAATCGTATGTCAGACAATTTATATCATAATCTCTGATTAAATAATAATGAATAATGGCAAGACTTCTGCATTGATAACCTTGTTCTTATTTAAAATAAATAAGTTTTAACAAAAAACTATAATCTCCTCTGTGTAGCAAACTGGGTCAAAATTACAAATTCAAGTTATCAGCTAAATTAATTTTTAATCACATCTACTACAGTCGGAGAGTAATTATTTTCGCACAACTCGCGGATATGGCGCAGGACTCGCAGGAGACTGGTTATAGGTCATTAAATCGCACACTTGCTGCAGATTCCACGCAGAATTAGTTCGGGAAATTTTTGGCTAGAGCGAGTGTGTCTGTTTTTTGTGATGGGCTCAGCATTATTACAAAGTGGGGGCGGATGGAACAGGTTTATAAAAGAAGCATTAAAATAGACACACACACACACACGAACGGACGATTCTTGCGAGACCGCCGAGCAGCAGCAGCAGGTGGGGGACCTGCTGCTCTTTTCGTTGCCGCCGCTGATGATGATGCGCTCGTTGCGAAATTGGACGGTCGTCTTTTCACTGCATTTTTCTGTTTGACCCTCCAGGGCAAGTAGAAAGAGATTTTGCAGAATATTTCCGCTTCATTTTGTTGCTACTTTGCAGTAGGCAATAAAATTGCATATAAAAGCAGAAATCTTATATTATCTTGAAAGAAATTTATATTTAAAAGAGAAATAATTGGTATATTATAATTGTAATTTTACTCATTCGCATGATGTTTGCGTTTAACGATTTTTACTGGTCTGAGAGTTGAAACGCAGAAAAAACGTTTAATTCCTACATTCCTATTCAAACAAACCCCCGCACAAAAACTTGCACGTAGCCTAATAAAGGATGCGAACTCGGTCATAAAAATTTTCCCAAGAAGCGTTTTGTGTAGATCACACGGATGAGTTCACGGAATGATGGTAATGCGGCGGGAGCACTATGGCCGCAGCCTTCCTTTATCCAAAAACGCCGTCGGCTGTAATTTAGATAAAGCGGTGGAATAATTTCTTATTCGGGCGCTCAAATACTACTGCACCGGTCTGATGCTACCGGGGATCATTCCAATCAGCAAAACAAAGCTCTTTTAAACCCAACACCTTGCGGTCATTTCTTTGAAAACAAAAATGGCGTGTTCAATATTATTTCCACAATGCCCTCAAGTTGGACCGTGCGGCACATCAATCCTGGTCGACTTTCAATACAAAGAAAATAATCCAACCAAGTCAGATCTTTATGGTCGCGGGACTGTTTTTCGAACTCGTTCTGTTGAAGTAAAAATCAATTTCCATTATTAAAATATGCAGATTCTTTACAGCCAAACTTATGAAATTAAAATTTTACTATTCAAATCATTATTACACTTTGTGTGACTTTGTGTTCCATAAAGACAGAAAAATAAAATAATTTTCGTTATGGAACATATTTTCTTAGGTCAATTTATCGTAGAGCATGTATGCAATATCAACGCACTGGTGTGCAACAGGTTGCATACCTATATTCCCCTAGCCACTTTTTTGTTCGTTGGGAGGTTTTTTTTTAACGCAGAATATTTTTCGCCGCTTATTTATCCACGTTTGTAACATTCAGTGAATTTAAGACGGTTTAAAATTTATCTTATGAAAGCTATTCTTAAAAAACATTCACCTGATTTATCATCTTGGTAATTGTGATGTATTTAAATTTTAATAAAAAAAAAGAAAACAATTTCTGCTAAATTTGGAAGTTTATGTACTTTTCTTATTTAAAATAATCCAGCTGAAGGTGAAACAACGATATCAAGCATCTCCTCCATAAAAAGGTAAGATGAAATGTGTGGCGTGCGTTGTAAAATCACTTTTTGTGTGTGTGCGCGCCTGATTGATGATTATCAGCGGCAGCCAAGAGAGCGAGCGCTGTATCTTTTGGTGCATTGCGTGCGCCCGGATTATAATTTTAATATGAAATTCCTGGTGCTGTATCCATCTGTGACGGCCTCGGGAGGCATCTCGTGTATTTATTTTGTGTGTATTTTATTCACGTGTATGATAAATATACGAATCAGTATGAGGCTTTTCTTCGTGTGTGATGCGGCGCGCAGCAAATTCGTCGCCGCCGGGAGCGGTGGCGGGCCAGCGAGAGATCTTTTGTTTTCCGATGGTCCCGCAACTTTCTTTGCGAAATTATCGGGGCCATTGGAGCCAGATGATCATCGTCAGAGCACGAAAGCCCAAAATTGATTACTCTATCCGTGGGGGAGCTAATTTGCTTTTGTTATTCGGACAGAGATTGAAATCTGGATTAGGATTTTGCATAATTTGACTGACGTCTGCATATGAAGCAATCATCTCTCAAAGTATTTTGAGACGAAAAATACATTTGACGATTTTCGTTTAAACATAAAAGCTTTATTTACGTGCATACAGTAAATGAATATATTATTTAATTATAATTCATTAACGTAGCCAGATTAATACTATTCGATCCACTAATTTATGAAAATAATTGCAACGAATATTGTTCATTACGGTGCATTATGGTTCATTGTTGTTTATGATCAAAAGCTAGAAAAAAAGGATATTTAAAAAATAATACTGATGCGGAGAGAAAAAAATGCCACATTACTTTTTCATATTGACTATCTTTTAAATTTATTAAATAAAAATTATCAAATTTGTAATAGTTGTTTTGATCTTTAATTGAATCAATTTTATAATTATTTTATGATCAAAATTTTAATTGAGTGAAGCGCCTGACAATGTTTTTTCCTTTCAAAAAATCATGAAATTATTAGCGGGTTTAATTGAAAAATAAAGAATTGAATTAAAAAAATACATAATTGCTAATCTGGGTTGTATCTTTATCATGACATTGAGAGATTTCGTTTTAACATAGATTCAGCATAATTGATGAGTGCAAGTGACGGCCTTCAAGGATCTTGTTCTTTCGAGCATCTATTTTTAAGCTCGCGGCTGCATGATTATTGGCTGAACCGTGTAATGTGCGTTTGATTTATCGAATCAGCTGTCTGACCTGCGTCCCCGCTAATCTTTGCGGCGCAGTAGCTGTGTGGGTGACGCGCAGCACAATAAAAAAGGGAGCGAGCCGCGGAAAATACACACCCGACACGTGAACGCGAAGAAGCTTTTACTCACACAAACTCATTTATTTTGTGTGGGAAGAGACACGCTCCTGTTGCTGGCTCCGAGCATCGGACTAAAAAACTCCCTAGCTGTGTCGACAGAGTGACGCGTGTCTTTTTCTCTCTCGCCGCAGTTTGCTGAGCACCATTTCATAATTAAAATGCGTCTTTTGATTTGATGTGCCTCAATGAAGCATTTTCTAAAAAATATAAAAAGATTTTTACATCAAATTTCAAGGAAATCAAGTGAATTTTTTCATTGTTCCCTCTTATATTCCAAACTGCTTTTTTTCAACAAGATGCTTTCAAATATGAACATTTTTTAAATAAGGAAATACAGAGATATTTTAATTAATTTTTGAAGGTGAAAAATGTGACATCTGTTTCAACTTATTCGGCTGAACCATATGAGCGAGAATTTCGGTTTTTCTCGATTTTTAGGTTGTTAAAAGTAAATCAAGAGCACATGTTTCGCTCACTGCTGGGACGTTAAGCAAAGTTGCTCGTCGTTAGGCAACCCCCTCGTCGCCAGTTCACAATGAGCCGACTATTATGTTGGGCCGTGTTTACACGGCCCCATTGTTGGCGATCGGTGACGGCCGTTTAATTTAAGGCGGCCAGCTGCGGCCGAAAACAAGCGTATAAAGTGGCGGGCGGGGGTGTCGCTTTTGCTTTTTCACTCGGCAGCACACAACAACATTATTTCCTAGCGACTTTTGACGACCAGCCAAAATTCTTCGGCCCGACCAGATTTTCTGCTCACGCTGCCGTGCGTGGGCGAGCTCGATGTTTGAGAAACAGTTAAATATATTATATTGTTTTTCTTTCTTTCACAAACCAAGATATTTTTAGTTTTTAAAAGAAATGGACCTTGATGTTAACAAGTTTGATAAATTAAAAAAATAAGAAGCCATGGATCTATTAAATAAAATTGTTGAATTAAATTTAAGAAAAAATACTTTTCTGTTAATAACAAAATTTCAAAATTCTTACGATAATTTTCAGAAACATATCAATAATAATTAGTGTCACAATCAGTATTTAATAAAAATAATAATAAGAAATATTAAAAAATTGAAACATACAAAACATTGAAAGCACAATTGTTTATAATTTTTTTTTCGAAAAAAAAAATCGTCTCAGAAACTGAAAATCAGCAAACAAGTATAATTTCTAGTGACAATCTCTTATGAAAATCATGCTTTTCCTTTATATTTATACAGGGTGTTTTCAAAATCAGTGCAGGTGCCTCTTGCTCAGTCTTCGGTATTCGTTTACCTGCACGTTCTATAGGCCGGGCGAGAATTTTGAGCGTGCCGCATTTCTGAGGTAGCACCGTTATTAAAGGCAAAATTTATATTTATTCAAAAGTAGGCCCGCCAATAAATCTTATCGAGAGCGGAAAATTCATTCAAATAAAATTCAGCAGCCGCTCTCTGCAATCTAAATCATAGAGAGGCGCGGTTTTGAAACTACTGCCATTTAAGTTTTGAGGAATAAATCGAGAGGGAAAAGCTTCGAGATTTATAAGTGATAAAATTGAACAACCCGAGGGGATTTAGCGAGCGGGAATCGCACTGCCCTTTGTGCTGCTGAGAAAACACGCTGCGGCGGCGGCGGCGAGGCGGATTATTGATGA